CGCCCCCCCCCTTTTTTTCCAGTCCCACAGGCGCCTATCTTCATGATATTAATAATATTTATCGTTACTTCTTCTGTGGAATGTAAGTCAATGTTAAATAAATTGAATATATCTAGAGCGTAGGTAGTTTATATCATTAGAACTGAATTTGAACCAAAAATTGAAACATTTTGAACTACTTTTCTAATAATAACATTTGAAAATAAAGGCACACAAAAAATGGTCTACAACTTTTAAAAGAAATGAACACAATAACTACACCTTTTGGTTTCTTGTCATTCAGTTTGAATGTCCTTAGTTTCTTTACTAACGCAGGTAAAAAAGTCATACTAGCAGCTATTAACACTTACGGGAAACACCTTCGAAACAAAATTTATCCTTTATGTGCTGAATTCTGTAAGTGCGTCTCGCTAGTGTTAAATACCACATTGCTTTTAATTTGATGTTAAACTGTATAAGCAAAACTTTTGTTCAGCTATGGCTAGTTCTGTTAGTCCCGTTTTTTGTGACATGGCGATGACACTTCTAGAAAAAAATGCTCGTGATTTTAAGGTACCTCTAATTACAGATACGTTAACGACATCTGAACAAGCGTTTTTATATATTTAACTACAAGCTACATAGATTTAACAATTTAACAATGACGTACAATTTACAGAACAAGAGGCAGTACATGATGGAATAATTTTTTGAAATAGATCATGAAGCACAGTGGCTTCATTATCACCAATTGATAAAAAAAACTAACTTGTTCTGACCAACACTTTTTTCATTACTTTAACCATCCTTTACCTCGAAACTGGCGACTATTTATGTGTTAGTTGTTTATATAATTAAACTATCAAATTAATTTTATCAGAAAAATCTAAGAATATTAGAAAAAATTTTTTTAGCCAACCAATTCACAGTTAAAATTATAGATAAATATTCGAATAAAAGTATATTAAAAATAAACATTTGTACTGATTAAATAGCTATTAATTGTTAAAACAATAATACCACTCTAATAGTTAGTATTACCCTTTTTAAAGATCTTGCTTCGATTGTTAAGAACATTTTTCAGAAGAATACAATGGCTGTCATTTGTTAAGGTATTAATAATTTCTTAAAAATTATTTATTGGATTAGGAAAAGTTCTTCTAAGTGATAATGACAATAATAACATAGTTTACAAGATGAATTCTAATAATAGCAAAGCTTGTTACAAAGGACAGTCTTTTAGGAATCAAAAATAAAAACAAATTCACATAAAAGCCACTATAAACATTTAAAAGATGAGTCAGCATTAGTTAAACATAAAAATTATAATAAAAACTTTAATTGGGCCAATGTAAGAACTTTGCAGATTTAAATAATCAGGTTAAAAAACTATTTCCAGAAATGCTGTAGATACATATTATTTACGGTAATGTAAGTAGAATGCTTAATACAAATAGTTTAAGAACTTGTACATTTCTCATTGATACTAACGCCAAAATGCTAATGCACCCTTGCAGTGAAAAATGTAGCATCCCTTCAAATTGGTTATAAGGTTATTGACTAGTACTTTTAAATAGTCATGTGTAATGCTTGATTTAGTGCCCTTCATGCAATTACATTGTGGTAGTTAATACTATAAACATATTATTTGGAGCGTTCCATTCGTAGTCTCTGATTGAATATCTTAATTGTTGGCAACATTGTTTTTTGTATGACAAATTGTGAGTACTGAGTTTTTCAGCAATTTTATTTTGAAGTTTTCATTTTAAGTATTATATTGTTATTACTTAGATTCAATCTAATAATTGTCTGAAACCCTCGTTCTGTACGGGCGGAAACGTTATTAGGAATAGAAAGCTTTGATAATATAGTAATCTGCATCTATAATAAATGTACAAAATAGTGTCAACGTAGCAGTAAATGAATAAAACTGCTACTCAAGGTACTCATATATTTTTACCTTATAGTATTGAGAATTCTACCGTAAGAATTTTCATCATTATTTTGTTTGAATATTAATGAGAATTTCTGCTTTTCTACTGAAATCATATCAAAAATATTTTTGGGGTTGAAGCAAACTAAAAATTTCATCTTACTTATTTTGTCAGCCTCCTGGCTAAAAATGACGGAAGGAAAAATTTGTTTTCTGTAAATTTTTTCTTTAAACAAGTAGTCACACAAGAGGTTTGGATGCTCAAAAGAAAAGCTTGATTTGAACAGTGAAGACTGATGGCTAGAATTTTGAGTTTTTAAACCCGGAACTGGTCCTGACATAGAAGATATCTACGTTTAACATATTAGAATTTTTATTATTTACTCACTTGTCATTTGTAATGAAAAAAAAGTGAAGTCAATACTAAGCCAATAATAAAGAGTGAAATTTATTAAGTGTAGGAGTAGGATCAGTTCAAGGTTGGACAGTGGACAGCCAGCCTGTGGACAGTGGATGCTTGGACACCCAAGTATATAATTATACTTCTATAAAGTTATGTGGCAAACAATATAATTATGAGTATGAAAATACCTTCTATAAAACAATATTGTGTACAAAGGTGGTGCCATTATTGTTGGAATTAGTATAGTACCATTGCCAGCTTAGCTGCTCATATTTGCGCTCCTTTTACTTCTCTGATTTTTTCTCCCGGTAACTATGTACAAAACGTCCTTATCAAAAATGAAAAAAAATTATAAAAGAATAAAGCACAACAAAAATTAACTAATGTATTTGTACAGTACAAAAAAAATTTTTTTTTCAATTTTTAAAAATTTTAAAAAAGTATGAAAAATGGTATAAAGAACTATTTTTTTACTATAAAAGTAACAAATTGATAATAAGTAAATTAAAATTTATTGATGCACAGGAAAAAGCTACTCAGCTAAAGTATTCTAATTTCATAGTTTTCGAAAAAAACATCAAATAAAAAAAAATTGTTTTATTAAATGAATTGTTCATTAATTTAATTTATAAATAAACCACATTAATTATGTACGCTAAATAAAAATTTACATAAGGGGTATTATTAGGAACTACAACATAAGATGTAGGAATCGAATTCCGAATGTCAGAACCACTCATAGCAGAGTGGGTAAGGACTTTGGATAGTGAACAGACGATTAGGGTCTCAAATCTTTTTGAATACTGTTTTTTTGTTTTTAGTTAAAAGAAAAAGAAACAAAATTTATTAAATTCAAAGTGTGTGGTGTGGTGGCTTTATGTAGTGTAAAGGGACTGAGATTACGTCCCAGGGGTCAAGGAAAAGTTGGAAAATTGAGAAAAATTTACTTCTGTCACACTTTTTCTTTAGGCCAAAATCTGAAACCATTGATTTACCCTCACGCATAACGTGCCTATAAAAGTATAACTTTGAATGGTAAGTAATTTTTAAATTTGCAAATTTTGACTGAGACCATTCCAGTACAAAAAAATATGTTCTTTATAGATCTCAAGTAATGGTTTGATTTGAGTTGACTGTAAAATCTGCATGGTTTCATTATTTTGCTGCAAAATACGATTTGAAACCTTCAATAGTTTTTTTTTTTCAATACTGTAAAGGTATAATGGAGTATTGCGACAATAATAGTGTATATTTTCCCCCATGTATTTCAAGTTTACAATTTCATTTCCCGCAATAGGATAGTCTGAGGTTACTAGCTGGTTTTCGGAAACAGAAACTTTTTTTTTTGGTATAACATTCTTTCCTGAATTTTTTTATGGTCTTTTTACGACACGTGGTTATACTTTTTTTTTAAAACATATCTACCCTTTCGATACAACTTTTGTGGAGCTATCATGCTTGTTGCATTAAATCATACGAGTTCTACTAAGCTTATACTATTCTCAATTATACTTAAAGAGTGTTTCCTTACATTTTGTAAAAATGACGTGACGTTGCTTACTTAAAGTTTTGTGTTGGTTGTACAAGCCTATTAAAAAAAAGACTTAGCTAATCAACGTTCTTTAAAAACTATCTTCGTGGCAATAAGTCTCAGACAAATAAATGAAAAGATAATGAAAGTGCTGCATCCATAGGAAATCTTTTATTATACCTCAATTTCTGATCATTTTAAAGTAATAAGGCTTATTAAAGTAATTAAAATTAATGAGTTTTAAGTCTTTTAGGTTAAATCAGGTAGGAATTTAAGTTCATGAATTTTTTTACGTCGGTAATTTACTAATACTATAAATTCTTGTTAGTACCAAAGGTAAGCTTGTAATGTCACGTAGATCTGAATCAGTATCCAGTTTCTAAAATTTTACCTGCCGTTTTCAGTATTGACTGCGTGGCTTTTAAAATATTGTATTATTCTTAATATTGCCATCATGAGCACTTATCTTACATGCCTTATTTTTTTTGTTAGCCGTCGAAATTTATCAAATTTTTTTTTTATATTAAGAATGGCGTCAGATTAGAAATATTAGAACCACGACTTTGTATAACTCAAACACCCTGTAATTTTTTAATAATTTTATTTATTTACTTATTCATTTATAACAAGAGTATACAAAACATACATAGCAATAGAATAATATGAATTTCCTTGCATCTTTGTAGAGGTATTTGTACCATTTCAGGGATAAGTAAAAATTATCTTATTCATGAATTTTGTATAACTATTTAAATATTTATGCTAATTATGCTATTTTTATGAATGTTAAAGCAACTATTTATGCATGTTCACTTGAAAAAAGCAGTTTTCCAAAAAAATTAGAGATGTTTTATAAATAAAATAACTGTAAGCTCTGAAACCTTTCTTCTTATTCATTAAAAATGGTGAGAGCATGGTTATTTTATACAAATGTTAGCTTTTATTACGTACTTCAAAGGATTTCATTTTTATCTTAGATATTTTAAAAAAATATTTCAGAACGATAAGAAGGTGAGCTGTGAGAGTTAACTTTATTTAATTATTTTTTGAAAATAATGATGGAATACATTCGTCTCTTGACAAATGTGCTCTGTATGTATAACATTACTATTACGTTTACTGACTGACTCCAGAGGTAAAAAATCTACTCTTACCTTATCAACGGCAAAAAGTACAGCTGGCCCTATAAAAAATATCCAGAAGCGAGGAGATCCAGTTAGTCTTGCCAAGCCATGGATCAGACACAGCACATACAGCAGAATGTAGAGGCTGTGCGTTTTCCAGAAATATTTGTATGCTTTCTGTCTGATAGTTGGATGCGCAAATGTGATTATTGTTGTCATCACTATAAAGAGAAGGATTCCACTAATACCTAAATTTAAAATAAAGACAAAAAGTATTAAGCTATTGCAATCTTGAATTTCTGTAAGGGGTTAGTGTATTTGCGAATGAGTCACTTAGTTCTATGGCAGTTATATTTATCACGTAAGAGAAAGAGTACAAAACTTTTTAAAATAAAGTTTTTCATCTGGGGCTATCACTAGACAAAAATAGAGGTAAGCGTCACACTTTTTCTTGCCCCCTTGGTTCGTCCCCCCTTTGTTCGTACCCCCACCAGCGCATTCTCTCTTGATAGAGAGTAGTTTACGTAGTATAGCGTATAGAAATGAATGTGGTGGCACGCGCACGATCTCTCGCTTTCTTTCAATTGCTCTTTTTCTCTTATTGTCAACTATACATATATGAACGGGCAATTTGTGTTATGTATAATGTGTTTATGTTACGAGAGCAGAGTGTCATTGTGTGGTATAGAAGACTGATGATCTGATTGATACACGGAGGTCCCATATTCAAATCTGGGACGATGTACCACAATTTTTTCTTTGAAATAACTGGTGTTATTGTATCTTAATCATTAGAAGGTTATAAAACAATCTAAGTAATAAGCTTATAAGTTTTAGAGAAAAGATAAATCTTACGTAGATAATTTAATGGTGGTACCATATTATCAATTTTTATCGATGTAATAAAAATGTCATATTAACGTAGAATTCTGTGCATATATTTAATACAAAAATCTATTTATGACCTTATAAACAAAGGTAGTAATGGATTATACATCAAAATTTAAAAAATAAAAGACAAAGACCAAGTAAAATTTAATAAAATTAATAGTTACGGTGACGCTACATGTGTAGATACAACGGAAGAAGCTTAAAGATTGTAAGAATTTCTTATTTGAGGTATAATTCATACAGTTGTTGAATTTTCTGTTTATCTTAAAAACAAACTAAAGTTTGTATTGAAAAAAAAAAGTTTAAAGTCCTGTAAGAACTATGAAAGACAGTTAACATCTTAGTTTGAATTAAATAAATATGATGATATTTGCAAAATTCATAAGGTATCTTAACATTCCCGAATACTTTTTTAATGATAAATCAAAAACTGAAAAAAAAAAAAAATGTAATAAAAAATACTGCAACATGTAGCGTAGCAGTAAATGAATAAAACTGCTACTCAAGGTACTCATATATTTTTACCTTGACCTAGAGATATTATAAGTGGGATTTTTTATTTTTAGGAATCTTTTATTTTTTATATTCATCTATAAATTCAAAAAGGAAATTCTTAGTAAGANCTCGGATTTCCTTGAAAAGCAACATTCACCGGCAAACGACCAACTTCCCGTTCAAGTGGACCGTTTGAACATCCACGATGACGATAGTGAAAAAATGAGCGAGCCACGTCACGCGCCCTGTGACAATGACGATCCCAATAATGATAAATCAAAAACTGAAAAAAAAAAAAAATGTAATAAAAAATACTGCAACATGTAGATCAAGCATTGTATTTTCAAAAGATTATGAAATATTATTCTTCAATTTTGTATTAAATAAGGTAACTGGTTTGATATTGCTTAAAGATATAACAACAAGAAGAAAGAAATGACGCGTAAAACGTTCAAATATATTCTTATTGCAGTAGGCTTAATTGATAATGATAAAAAAATAGATAAAAGAGAAATAATTCATGTCATACTTCTATATCAATTTAGACAATTTCTTACTTAGTTTTTAATTTTATAAAACAATCATGGTAACAAAATATGTAATAAATATAAAGAATTTTTCAACGAAGATTTGCATGAGACTAAACATTTTTGAGCTCTTTTACAATTTAACCAAATTTTAGAGTTAGAAGATAAATTATGTAAATGCTTTCATTTATTGGCACCAAAAAAAAGATAAAATAATGTTATACACAAAGAATCACGTTTTACTAAACGAATGCTTAACTCAATGTTTAAAAGTTTGAGTGATGACCAGAAAAAAATATTTAATATCATTTGTGAACAACGAAAGTTTGTTAATGTCATGGACTACCATCAATTTTGCTTTCAAAGGAATGACAGTAATACAAAGAATGCTTTTTTAGAATTTGAGCCAGATAAAAAGCATCAGGATATTTGGATTTAATTATTTGGAATAAGGCTTTGACGATTGAAAACAAGCATCGGGAATGATACACAAAACTTAAAAAAGTTTATTTAATACTAAAAAATAATTTGAAAATAAATAAGTTGTAAATTGTATTGAGGTAGTTTTGATTGAACTCTCCTAGGGATGAAAAAAAGTAACAGAAGAGTTATAATCAAACAAATTTTTTAACCTTTTTTTTTTTAAATTTTTTTTAAATTCTAAAATTGTAAATCAATATTCGTTTGATCGTCAAAGGATATTCTTGATTAATATTGAAAGTTGGGGAAGAGGAAAGAGAAACCTTCAATATTCATAAAAATGGGATATCAAACGATGTTTTTTCTCAAGTATTTTCTGATGTGTATAATTGTTTTATAAATAGTGTTATACTAACATTATATTATGAGTGCGCTTCCAATTTAAATGATAAGATTCTTAAAAAAATTAACTAAAATTAAATTTTCCAGTGGAAATATTCTATAATTCGTAAAGGATCACAACCTTATAAAAGAAGCCTAAAAATTAGTTTAATAATAATATAATGCATAAATTTAAGTATATTAGATAGACCATTTAATCAAATACAACTAAGAACTGTACAATGTACAAGGAAACATAATACCAGAAGAAAAAAAAAATAGTCTTCATTTAAAAAGTAACTTTTAACACAGGAAGCATCTCAGATTTCCTTTTATTTTGTATCGTTAGAAATTTTTAATTGTTGAGGTATTAGCTACGACAATAGACATATATTATGGTCAATGTTTTGATGATGTTGGTAAATATAAAAGTATATCATCATTTTTTAACAACAAATTATGCGTGGCCGTATAAGGATGCCAATGTAAGAATATTGTATGTATTTATGTAGAAAGACAAATAAATGGAAGTAGGAAATATTATAAAAAAAGAAACGTTTACATAATAGATTGACTTTACTTGGTTATTTTTAGAAATTGATGAAAAAGATTAATGGCAATAAATAAGATATTATATTTCTTAACATTCTATCCTTAAATAATAATACGCATTATAATGAATTTTTTCTATGACAATACTTTTTGGTTACAAAAACTTGATCTTAAATTTTTCAGAACCACAAGTCTCTAATTTTTTTAAACAAAATCTATTAAGATATAATGTAGTAGCTTGATATAAGTGTAATAAAATGAGTGGACAGTGATTGCTTAGGTACCCAAGTATAAAGTTATACTTCTATAAAATTATATGGCAAATAATAAAATTTTGAGTATAATAATATCTTCTATGAAACAATATTGTTTCATACAGAGGAAAATATCATGCCTCCAACGCTAGGAAAGTATCATGCTTCCAACCCATTAGGTGGCTCTATCCTTAACAGCAAGATTTTCTTACCTCTAACGCCAATGGTTGTTAGCATCGATAGTATTAATCGATCGATGCAACGATCACTCGAATATAATGGGTGGGGAACACTGGTCTGATGACTTGAGTGCTCGAACTGTCTTAAGTGCCAAAGGCAAGAGCCAAGATGCGTCCCGTACATCATGGCTC